AATAATTTCACCATTTTTTAGTGTATGAGAAAGTCCGAAAACAAGTTTCTCCTAACCTCATTGTAAATTCCATATTCTGTTAGGATAAGTGTCATTTCTGCTTCCCTCTTGAAGGTAAATGAAACTGAATGATTATCATTTATTTAATCACATGTTATCTCTTAGAAACCTCAGTGCACTGAGAGATGACAAGTGAAATAGACAACTTACAGTTTTGTCGATATTTGCTTGTAATTAGAGCAGGTCTTTGTTTTTGCCATCGTGTACAAGCGTCACAATTTTTCAGTTCAAACTTGTAATTATGGCATTCCCTCATCTCTGGAGAAAAAAAATTCAAGTCAAAATGAGTTATACACTTTCTGCCACTTGGTACATACATTTTAATATTTTAACTTGCCTTTTCCATTAATGTATTTCCCATGAATAGCCTTTTAAAATATACAACAGGGATTTATTTTTGCTTTTCATGACTTCATTATCATGATGTTTACTCTTTGTTATGGAGATAAAATTGTATTTATTCCATTAGCAAGATCTTACACTCTTTTAAAATGAATTAATATATAACATAAAATGAAATTCAATGTTAGATTAAAAAATACTTTACACAGTGCAAAAACAAGGACAGAGGAGGTTCACATAGATTTACATCACAGATGCAGATTTACTAACTTGATAAACACAAATCATTTAAAGTTTGTATGCCATGTTTCTAACTTGAAAAAGAACAAAGAAAGCAACATGAAAAGGTATCAATACAAGCCATTAAGGATATTTTAAAAATAAAATCAATATGATGAATTTAGTATCTATAATGTCAGTCACATATTACAAACATTTAGTAAATATTAGTATATTGAATTTTCTTCATAGTGAAAAACATATAAAGACTACAAGAGTAGAATCTGAAGTTTTAGGATAAATGTAATAAAAATATCTTGCCTCTAAACAAAACAAGTAAAAAATGTTTTGTTCTCATCTTGAATTCACTGAATACCTAAAGCCATTTATAAATGAAATGATAATATTAATTAGCTTTTATAACTAAATATTAGACTTATACATTGTCTATAAGTCTACATATGTAATTCAACAATTAAACCTGAAGAAAAGAGGATGGGTATCATTTTTATGGATGAAGAATATTGAATAATATAGATAGATAAATCATGTTGTTTATTTATCAGAAAGTCACAAATCATGAATTAGTCATAACACTTTTAGGTTAAGAAGTCCTTTCAAATTATATGTCATTTGATTTGAATATTATAGAACTCCACTAAGGTAAATATGTGTTTCATTTCTCTAGTTGACAGCATAAAGAAATGAAAATATATAGAGGTATGGATCGCTCTATCTCAAGCATAGAAAGTGCTAAGAGTTTGATTAAAATTCAGCTCTTCTGACTCCAAATCTTAATGCTATTTCAGTATTTCAAGCTCCTTTAAATTGTGAGTGACTTCACAATAGGTAGAGAGTGAAAAGGAAAAATCTTTTCAAATCTTCAAAAAGTTGATTTAAAATATAAACATAAATGAAATGAATGTACAGTGAATGGGAATAAATTGCTTTCCTATGGTTTAATTATTTGTACAAAATTCTGGAAGTCTAAAAAACTATGCAGAAGCAGAAGTGCACATCCATGTGGACAGTACATACCCGAGCTGTGATTAGATTTCCGGTCACGAATCAGCCCCATCGTGCAAAGATGAGTGCATGTCTTTCCCAGAGATGAATCTAAAGTCTTCAATTAGCAAAGGACTACTGAATAAAACTGAGTACTTAGGATTTCTTTTTGTTTTTTTTTTTTTGTGGTCAGATGAATGATTTTGATTGTACAACTTAAATATAGAAAAAATTTCCTTTAGGAAAATGCATCATTCATGTAAAGCCAGATAAGATTAATTTTATAAATTTTGCTTGGTTATAAAATGATGACCAATTATTTCAAAATGTCATAAGAATACAACTGGTATTTTAATTCACTTACATTAAAATTTTTTGGCTAATATATTTTAAACTTCTGTCTGTATCATGATCATCATCAATAATAACAAAAATTATCACCATCATTAACAAACATAATTTCATATAGTAGTATTTTTCAGTGTCTAAAAAAAAGCAGCTATTCAATAAATATACATAGTACTTATATTTTAAAAATGAAAGTTACTCATATTTGATCATGATGTTTGGAAGAAATGGGTATAATTTGCTTCATCTTGCATGTAACATTGTATATCACAGAGGTTAAGCACCTTCCATAGAATTAGAAAATAAAATGGAGTTTCACCTTCTAGTTTTGCTTGCAGACAGGCTAATTTTAGCAACATCATAACTTCTGATTCTTCCATAAGTATATCCTAATTACACACCATTGGATACAGTTATAGGGATTATACCTCCGAAGTTATAAACATTTCTTGCCCTTAGCAATTCAATTCAAACACATAAGACACGATTAGAATTATTTATACTATAAATAGTTTTAAAAGACTTTCTTAAGCTTGAAATATAGTTCCTCATTTCTTGAAAACTAGCTGTTAAACATAACACACACCTGCTCAGAGAAAGAAGATCCTTGTTCTTGTGGATAAAAGCCTCCTAACAAAGCAAAAAAATCTGGACATGTCCTGAGCACCTAATTTATAGTTGAAGGTAGAGACGGCAATTTTAATCCTGAGTAAAATGTGATATATGTTATTTGAATCTCATCTTCCTGTGAAGAAAACCTGATATAAACCACAATACTTCCGTCTTATCACTAGACAGAAAATTTGGCCAATGTGGTAAATTAAGTATGACCACCTTTTCTGGATAAATGTGAAATCCTTATAATATTTTAGGATTTAAAATATTTTTTTGGTGATAAGAAGGAACACATAGATTTGAGAAACAAGTGATTTTTTTCTCTTTCTGAATAAAAAGTAGAAAAAAATATACAAAATGTGGTTTTAAGAACTGTGTGAAATTAAACAGAGAAGAATGTTTAATAAATGTCTTAGTCACCATGAACATAAGTTCGAATTAAATCAAGTAAGCTGCATTATGTAGGTTTGAACTACAGAGAAGATATGCTTTTCACATGGAAACATACAATAAATATTTATGTAATGCATACATCTGACATTGTGAAAATATAAAATGTATATAAATAAATAGCCCCATGATGAGTCATCATACTTATAGTTCAAATAATTATCACCTGTGGTCAATATTCATCCACATATGATTCGTCTGGGTATCTCAGATTCACCTCCACTTTCTCCTTTTTCCCTGTAGACATCAATCATTATGATTCATTTGTTCCTAAGAACAATGGTGAAAAATTTCATTCAAGAATAACAACATAATCAGCTGTCTCGTTGTTCTAGTTTCTGGCTACTTGAAATTTTTATTGAATTGAAAAATGATAAGGAAACTATCACAGTCAAAAGGAGGCTGAGGGGACTCGACAACTACGTGTAATGTAATATCCTGAAAGGGACAATGGAACAGAAGAACACCAGACATAAAAATTAAGGAAATTTGAGTAAAATATGAACCTTAGTAATAATGTATCAATATTGGTTCATTAGTTTTGACAAAATAATCACAATAATAGAATATTAACAATAAGGAAAGTTAGGTATGGAGTAATATCAGAATTCTTTTTTTTTTTTTTCATTTTTCTTTTATTATTCATATGTGCATACAAGGCTTGGTTTATTTCTCCCCCCTGCCCCCACCCCCTCCCTTAC